TACAGTATAGGGTTGTTATGAGAAGTCAAAGAGATAGTGTGTGAGGAAACAACTTAGCACAGTGCCTGGCCCTACCCCAACACCAGCATCATTATTAGCATTCATAAATACGTCCCCATTGGAACTATCACAATATGGGCCAACTGGAGACCTCGATGGGATCCCTGAAACTGTGCAAATGTATGAGCTGACTAAAGACTGGGGGAAAAACATAAAATAAGATAGTTTAAACAGGTGATTCTTTAAAGACTAGAAACTTCGAACTGACAAAGAGGATCTCAGTCCTATTCCTCTTGTCCCTGCTCTTGAGAAGTCACTATGTGTTCTATGTCTCTGATTTGGGTTCCTCCCAGCTACCACCACCTCCAGCTCAAATATAATATGCTGAGAAATGTGGGAACCGGCTTAGGATCCCCTCCAAACATCATCCCACTAGGTGCTTCAAGGGCAACACGACACATCTGCCTGGATCTGTAGTATACTCTGCCCAGAAACTTCTGTCTATGGGAAATTATCTCACTGCCAAGTAAGCCCTAATGAACAAAAGAAAAGAGAGAAGCAAGACATCCTCGAGGAGTATGTAAGGGGATTCTCTCTCACTGGCTTCTTCCAGAGAACCAGACAGAGATCCCATATATATGTTAGGATAGAGGATAAAAGATAAATTAGCCCCGTCTCTGCCCTCAAGAATGCTTCTTTTTGTAGGAGGCAGGCATAGGGGAGACATAGGCCCATAAACCAACAACTACCATACAGTGCTAGAATACAGGAGTGTTCCTGTCAGTGCAGTGGGAAAATGAGCCTTCAGTTCTGTTCTGGATAGTGGGGAAGGTTTCACAGAGGAGTCAGCTCCGGGTGGGCTGATTGAAGAAGGGTCAGATTACAGGAAAGATCCAGGTGAAAGCTGTTTCTTACAGTACACAGAGCCCTGGGATAGAGTGGAGAGAAAGGGTGCATCAGAACTCTCTGGGAGGTAAGTTAAAATACAAATTCCCAGGAAGTTAAAACTCAGATGCCCAGAGACCCAAATCTAGTAAGTCTGAGAAGGGGCCCCAAAATCTGATTATTTAGTAAGCCTTCCCCTCAGTGATTCTGCTACAGGTAACCCACATGCTCAACACTGACCAACCCCACAATTGACCTAGTCACCCCTCCTTCTTAAAACTTCTGTGGGCTTTGCTTGGAAGGATCTGTGCCCACTTAGGAAATACCTTCTCCTTCCTCAAACACTAATAGAAAAACCTTTTCAGAGTGCTTGCTTTCTGCTCATAACCACTTTATATAGATAATTTCATTTAATCCCCCAAATGAGCCTAGAGAGTAGGTTTCCTAATAAACCCCATGCTACTTCAGGAAACTGAAGCACCAAGCAGCCACACAGCCACACTGCTGGATGTGTGTTATCTGTCTCTCCTTTAGATTGCTCCCAGCATAAGGGGCCCTGGAGCCCCGGGGCGGTGTCCAGGGCATTATAGCTGCTTAGTAAATATTTGTGGAAATAAGTAAAAGAATAAACACGCCTTCCTTGCATCTGTGACCTTCACCCAGTGCCTAGGCAACAAATCCGCCCCCTCCCTCTGGGCTCCTCCTAGGTTCCCACTGCCCCTCCTCCTTTCCTACCCCTGGGGCCTGGGAGCCCCGCCCTCAGGGTCCTGTGAGCCCCGCCCTCAGGGTCCTGCCACTGAAGGGTTACAGCCCCAGGGCCCTTACTGGCCCTGCTGTTGACCAGGGACCCCAGGGCCTAGGAATGTGCTTTCCGGGTTTGTAGAGCCTTTCCATTTGGCAATCCGGAGAGGGAGCTCTCTCTCCAGACACCTCCTCAAAGTCTCCTCTTTGTTGGGGCTCCTGCCAGCTGCTCCCTCCCTCCCAGTCCCTCTGGATCCATTTCGGGATCCCTCCTTCCTTTTTCCTCTCCTCCCTACAGTCTTTCTTCCCCGTTCCCTTACCGCTGGGTCTCCGGCAAACACTCCCTAGATGTTCTTCCCTCTTTCCTTCTCCTCCCCTTCTCTCTCCCAGCTCCTTCCTTCTCTCCTCCCCACCCCTATCCCTTTTGGCTTTTAGCTAGTCAGCCTCTCCCCCTTCCCCTACCTCCCTGCCTCCCTTCCCTCCTCCCTCCCCAGGTTTGGACTCCCTACTCCTCCCCTCCGCCCCCGGGCCTCTCCCACACTCCCCGAAGGAGGTCAGTTGGCAACCCCGGCTCCCTCCTCCTTGCGTCAGAGCCTCGGGGCCCAGAGGCCTCCCGGCCCTTCCCTCCAGCCTCGGAGACCCGCTCGCCCCGGCTCCTTCCCCCAGAGTCCTCATTACCGCCTGCTCCGCTCCCGCGGCCCCGCCCTGCCTGGCTCCCGGGGCCCCCTGAAGGCGTCCTCTCCCAAACGGCCCCCGCACCTCTGCTGCCCCCAGCTCCCCGCAGCCGGGGAGGGGTGGAGGAAGGTCTCGGTGTTCTCGTAGGGGGCCCTCGGGCCCTGCCGTTCCTGGCTGGACGTCCCTCCCTCCCCACCTGCCTCCCTAGGACAAACAGCAGAAATCTTGCAGCTCCCGAAGGGCCCGGTCCAATCTGGAAGCGACTCGAGCGAGAGACGCAGAGCCCGCACCTCCGCGGGCATCGCCAGCCGCCTGCCCGCAGCGCAGTCGGGACGAGCCCTGGCTCGTGGGCCCGGGCCACCTACCCGCTAACGCTGGCGCAGCAAGGTCGGGGGTTTCCTGCCCGTTTCCCGGCAGGGGGAGCCACGGGGACGCACCTGAGCCCCCAGCCCCGCTCTCCCAGGACGCCGAGATCTGCAATGAGTTAGGACAGTCCCCGGCCGCCTTTTGGGCCGCCACGGCTGCCTGCTGAAGCCATTTGTGCCCGGCAGCAGCTGAGCGGCACGTTCCAAACAGGCTTACAGGTGACGGGCCGAGAGGCTTCGCGAGGGAGGAAAGTTCTCAGTCCTGCCCAAGGCTTCAAGCGGAACCCTAGCCGAGTTCGCTCTGTGCCTTTCTTCAATAAACCAGTAAATACTTAACTGCCAGCCGCTGTGTGCCAAGCGGTGGATACCGCAGATAGATGAAATGTGTTCTCTGCCCTCCAGGAGCTAGTGGGAAAGAAACCCTCCTAAGTAGCAAATACAGTCAAAATAAAGGAAATCACAGAAATGGAAAATTAGGAAAGAAGTCATCTATTCTGCACTTATTGTATGCTCAAAACTGCTCTAAGCATTTCACATGCGTCATTTTGCTTCAGTCTTCAACTGTTTCTAAGGTATTCCTATCCCTGTTTGACAGATGAGGAAACCAAGTCTTAGTTGTTTAATTGAATTGTTCAGGTCACACAACTAATAAGTAGTGGAGCTAGGGTTTTTAAACTGCCTAATTGACTCTCAAACCTACTGCTTTCTACTGAGAGAAGATACTCCGGTATGCTACACTTTGTGAGTACAAATGAGCCTAAAGCTTCAAAGACAAGGTGAAGCCTGAATGTTTTTTTTTGTTTGTTTGTTTTTGTTTTTGTTTTTTGAGGGATGTTTAATAGAAGCTCCTTAGGTAGCCAGAGATGTTTTTCTTGGATTTGTTGTGATTTTTTTTTCTTTAATGAACTTTTTTTAATCTGAAATAATTTCTGAGCAAATAATTTAGCTAATACTCAACTCAGAATTCTCTGAAAGCACCAAGATGATATGGCTTATTAAAAAAATGAGTATGTAACACTAATATTCAAGTCAACTTTTAAAAGGGGAGGGGGAGTTCTGTGATATCACTATCCGCCCCCACCTGTTTTAATCACTCTTTCCTCCCAGTTCTTGTCAGTTCACAGAACTTACCTGGGTGGGATGGAAGGCAGTTCCATACTGGACCCAGTGAGCCATAGAGGGCTTAATGGGATTTACAAATGCTCTGAGTGGCTGTTTCCATCAGTAACGTGTCTGTCTGAATCACAGTACTTACGTAGGAGAAAAAATCCAATATCTCCATAAAAATCACTCATTTCTCACTTTCCCAGGCAGACACACCCAATATAGTTTTTACAGAGGAGACAGCCTCCTTACCTGGTGCCCATGGCCCAAATCTTCCTCCCAAATGAGACTCTTGCTCCTCAAATACTTCACTCACCTCAAATGCCCCTGCCCTATCCAGGGTTCTAACAATGTTCCAGGTACACTCCCATCTCCAGGGCCTGCTTGTATCCTTCTCCCTTGCTCCAGTGTCTGCCCTCTTCCCTAATTTCCTCAGATTTTTTCAAACACCATTCTTTCAGATCCAAATAAATTCCTAACTTGTCTATCAAGCTTTCTCAGCATCCTAGAGATTTTTCCTGCCTCCAGTTCTTCCTACATATACCACTCATTGCTTTATATTGTTGCATCACTTACAAGCATGTTCTGTCTCCCAGACTTGAAGATCTTAAAGGTAAGGACTACGTTCAACTTCTCCACTTCTGTCTGCTCTCAGTGGACACTTTTCAAATGTGCATTAATTATAATGGTACTGGCCATCAGTGCTTCAAAACACTATAATTTCCACTCATAAGAAAGAATATGGCCAGGTATGGTGGCACATGCCTGTAATCCCAGCACTTCAGGAGACTGAGGCAGGAGGATCCCAAGTTCAAAGCCAGCCTCAGCAATGGCGAGGCATTCAGCAACTCAGTGAGACCCTGTATCTAAATAAAATAAAAAATAGGACTAAGGATGTGGCTCAGTGGTTGACTGCCCCTGAGTTCAATCCCTGGTACAAAAAGAAAGAAAAGAATATGGACTCAGAAGTCAGATTGAGCCTGATTCAAATCCTAGTGCATCCACTTACTGATGATGTGACCTTGGGAAAGTTTCTGGACCTCTCTGAGCCTTAGTTTTCTTGTCCATAAAACAGGAATGGTAATAGGGCTATTGTGGAACTCTAGTGTGGTAATGCTTAGCACAGGGTAAGAGGGCTTAGTGTGTCATACACACTGAATAAATAGCTGGTGATATTATATTTATTATTACTGATAATAATGATGAAAAAACAAAAGACGGGTGTGCTAATAGATTTCAAAGAGTACTTGTTTAATAAAAGTCATTGTCCTCCAACATGATAAAATTATCTGTCAAAGAATTTCACATTAGAGAAATTGTACAAGTGAGTAGTTCTGGGGACTTTGCACTTGAGTGAAACTTCACAGCTCTGAGATTTTGCCACCCAATACCAAATGTCTGGGACCTCTACACAAAGTTCCCAAGTATATAATCATCTAAACATTCACTGCTTATTTCCAGAATTTGGGATGACAAAGCTAATTCAGTCTTCTAGAACTCCGGAGCTGAGAGTAACGCCAAGGACAGCCCTTATTCTGTTCACAGGGAAGCAGCAGGCCTCATACAGTCACCTGATACAACGAAGTCACCTGGCAGGGAAGTGGCAGAGCTAGAATTAGCAACCAAAATATCCTGACCTCTAGTTCAGAGCTCAACACCACCAACACCTCATTGGCTCCTCAGAGAAAGAGTGGCACTGGGCAGCTTGTGCCCCGCATACCAGCAACACTGGGGTTTGATCTCCTCCAGCTGTATTTGTTCCCAGGAAGTCCACTGAGCAGTCAGAGTTATAGACTGCAGGAAGAAGAGAGTGACTTGTCCCATGGTTATTAAAATGTAAACTGGCAACTCTGTTGCTAAAACCTCCTGGCTCCTCCAGGAGCTGATATCTAAATACTCCATATTCTGAGTGAGAATAGTTAATGCTCAAAGATGCTAGCAACTGCTGTAGTCTGCATCTCTTCTTGAGTGTTCACACTCTGCATTTGAATCCTGCTTCTATCCAAGTGACCTCACAGTTTTCAAAGGTAGCTCTGGGGAATATTAAAAAGTCACAGAACCTCCAGGAATTCATATACAGAGGCGCTTGTATATATAGAAGCAGACAGGGTGAAAAGGTTGTATAGAACATGTCATCCTTCTGACACACTGTGGGCCTAAATATAGTCTCTTGCAGTGATGGTTTCACCTGGAAGAAAAGCAAAGAAGAGAAATAAATGTTTGTAAAGTGAAGAACTGATTACCAAAAGTATAATTCAAGAATCACCTGCAGCACCATCAGTCATTTCTGAGCAACTAAAATTTTACAAACAGAATCATCACTCACCTGGCTTACAGGGCAGAGCCTGGCTTCTGTCTCAGTATTCTGGGACTTTCTCAGATGACAGATTGTAGGAGTTCGTGGCACAGAGAACTCACAATAAAATTTGCTCAGTGGTGCATCTTGCCTGAATCAAATTTAACAGTCACAATGGTCCCCATAAAGTCATTTGGCAGAGAAGGACCATCCCTACAGAGCAGAAACATGCCTTGATTGATGAGGAAGACCCATCAAATTAAGGCCCAGAGTAGACCCAGATGAAGTTCCCTTCCACACCTCATCTTCTATGAATTCAACCATAACTCTTATCCTGAGAATCCAGCAGGTCTGTTACCGGTTCAGTGTGACCTCATCATACCTTGCCCTTACCTCGTCCCCACACATGTGTCCTCAGAGCCTTTCACTCATTATTCACAGCCCTACTTGCCTGCCAGGGTAATGTTGAGCACAGCAACTACACTAGCTGACTTCAGGATTCCCAAAGCTACCCCCTCTAGAAACAGTGGTGTGTGATCTCTGGACCTAGAGCATCTGGGGTAGAGATGCATAGAATCCCAGATGGCCCATTTGTTCATTGCTTACTATGTGCTAGGGACTTTGCTAAATAATTTATAGGTTAGTAATCTGATTTTTATTCTACTGATAGCCAAATGAGGTAGATTTTATTATGCTCATTTCGTACATGAGGAAACGATCAAGTGACTGGTCTGAAGTCACATAACTAACAAGTCGTAGAGTGAAATTAGGACCCAGATGTGTCTCACTCTACAAGCTTGTAGCCTCTGCACTCTTGAGGGCTCTGTCATGTTGTCTCTCATTGCTAAGCTACAGCACTGTGCACCCACAAACACCAGATATGCAGGACTGGAGACAGCTGGAACTAGTCCCAGTCTAGCTTCATTCATCCATCTATTCATCCTTCCAGCAGATGTTGACACCTACTGTGCGCCAGGACTGCAGCAGGTGCTGGGGATTCAGAATAAATAGCACAGAGATCCTGCCCTTAACATGAGGATCTTAAAGACAAACAGGACTTACTCTGGAAGCTGCTTAGTCTGTGATCGATGTATGATCACTTTTACAGACAGAGATCATCTTGACAGGGAGCTCTGGCTTGGACTGAGCTGGCTCTTGGAATGGGTCACTCAAGGTTCAGAGCAAGGGGCCAAGGGGCACTGCTGTTGATCCATAGTATTTATCCCAGGGGAACTTCAAACAGCAGAAAGAGTAATCTAAAACCCACCCTCTCCACCTGTCTGGAATTGCTTTTGGCTACATCTTTGAAAAACCCACTAAGAGCATTGTTTCTGGAGCCATCCCAACTCAAGGGCAAGTGTTTTGTGTTTCTTCAGATACTAGTTTAACCCAGTAGAGAAAGGCTGGAAGGCCCTGGACAAATTCTGCTGCATGGATCAAACACCTGCTAACATTTCCTATACAGTTAGTGATACTTTTTTTTTTCCCTCATGGGAAACTAATAGGATTAGACAATTGTGACTGACCCCCATGCTGAAGTCATACCACATCTGCAACCTTCTAGAAGACTGCTGAGTCAGCCCACCACATCCATGGGCTGGGAATCTGTGCACAGAAGATGGAGCTTTTCCACTGCAACCTTACATGGCAGAAGAGCAAAAGGGACTAAGGCGTTCCTCCCCCCCTCCCCCCCTCCCCGTTTTACAAAGTCACTAATCCCATGCATGAGGGCGCTGCCCTCATGATTTCATCCCTCCCTAAAGGTCCCACCCCTTCTTACTGCTCATACTTTTTGCAACAAATGGAGCATGAAAGGATGCAAGACTTCTGTAATAATTCTTCTGTGTCCAACAATTTTATTTACTTGCACTTTAAGTATTCTTGTTAAGAATAGAGAAGACCTGCCCACTGGGACAGCGTGTCCCAAGAGGGGAACACTCCAGTTTCTTCCCCTGGGAGGTAACCAGAGGAGCTGAAGAGGGCTCACAGAACTCAGCCAGAAAAGCGTCAGCAAATGACTTCTGTGTTTACCCACTAAGACCAAGTAGGCCACTCCAGCTAGGGATCCTAGACTGTTCAGACTTCCAGCACAACCCAGCCCTGAAAAACGAACGCAGGTCAGGTCAAAGTGCTGCTCATCAGTGCTTTCCATGGAAAACAAAGGTCAACAAAGAGTATTCCTTCAACTGGGCTCCAGCTCTTTGTGTCCTAAAATATCCTTCACAATCCTTCATTAAAAAAAAAAAAAAAAATCTAAGCTACCCCTTCCCAAAGAAGGATTTCTCTGATATGTTGGCAAGACCCGAAGCAGAGACCTCTTAGTAGGGTAAACTCCTGTTGGTCAAAACAGCATTATGCTCATTGAGCCCGGTCAATTGTGACTGCTGTGGGACAAGAGGCTTTTGGTTTTGCTAGTTTCATTCCTTTGGCATAAAGAAGAGGAAAAAGAAAACATTGGGTTATCCCTAGTTTCTCTTTATTCTCCAATTTTTCTGCAAGAATATATATGTTTTCTTTTTGTTCTAAGATTTTAAAAGATAAAATAAGGTTAGTAAGAATTTGGGAAGAAGGAGTTTCTATAATTGAACAAATATGGCTTTGAGCTTTCAACAGCTCAAGAAAGGTTTCACACTTCTCAATAATTATTGTGTAAATTTTGTTTGGTTTGGTTTGGGGTACTAGGGATTGAAAGAGGCACTTTATTGTTGAGCTACATCCAAGCCTTTTTTATTTTTTTATTTGGAGACAGGGTCTCTCTAAGTTGCCTAGGCTGGCCTCAAACTTGTAATCCTCCTGCCTCAGCCTTCCAAGTCACTGAAATTATAGATGTGTACCACCATGCCCAGCTAGGCAAATGTTTTCTAATGAACACTTTTCTGTATGCTGCAGAAAATTAATAAGGTCAGCTTTTATAACATGAAAACATTTTGATACTATAAACTATTTTTAAGGGACTGATTTTAAAGTACTGTTTGTTCTGGTCACTTGTTTTCACTACGCAGTTTATACAACTTTCTTCCAGCAACTGGCCAATGCGTGAAATATTATTCAGCCTTCAAAAACAAAGAAATCTTGTCATTTGCAACAATATGGGTGAACCCATAGGATGAAATGAAATAAAACCAACACAGAAACGCAAATACTACATTATCTCACTTACATGTGGGTTGTGAAATAGTTGAACTCTTAGAAACAGAGAGTAGAATGCTAGTTACCAGGGTCTATAAGAGAAAAGAAATGAGAAAATATAAAAACATCAGTTGTACAACTAAATAGGTCTAATTTCTAATGGTCAACAATACTCTAATAAAGCTGTAGGGGGAAGTCCATATGCAAAGGGAAAGGCGATTCCAGAAATGGGCATGAACTCAGGCCTGACGGATCCTAGCATTACAGTCCCTATCCCATAGAGACAGCCTAAGGAATAGACATTGGCCTAATCACAGCCAATGAGACATAGTGAAAATTTTGTGGAACTATTGAAAAAGAAATATATACTCTTTTCTACTGGACTTACTCTTGGGAGGACAAAAGACTAAGGTTACCTGAAGCCTCCTTGCCATGACTTAGAGAAAGGTGAAGCGAACACAGGGAGAAAACTAGGGTCAAGAATAGGAATGAAATTTGGGCCCAGTGATATTATTTGATCTCCTGGACCAAATCATACCTGAAGCTATTCTACCCTGTATTGTTTGGTTGCATAAGCAAATAAATTCTTCCTCTTTCTTTCTTATTTATTTATTTTCTCAAGCCAAAATGAGCTGAGTTTTCTGTTACTTGCATCCAAAACAGTCCTAAATGATATGCTCGTGAGTTAAATATCCATTTGCAAGGGGATGGCCAAGCATACCTTTTAGAAATCATAAGTGTCTTGCAGAGGCTGAAAAAGATCCCCACAGGAGTATTTAAGGGAAGCCATAATAAAAAGTTAGTACTTCTGAAATCTGAACTCTGAGACCAGATGTCTTTTTTTTTTTAGCTTTCATTATCACCTCTGATTATACAGTTATCCTCCTTAATAAGAATGCCTCATTAGAGTGCTATACTGAAAACTAAATAAGATAAAAATATATTAAAATGCCTAGAACAGTGCTTGACACCCAGCAGATTCTCAACAGATTTTTATTTTCTCCCAGAATATTATTGTCAAAACACAAAATGCATAGAGACAAGAAGTTTGCACATTATCGAGAACTCCAACGTTGCTCAAGATAGTTGTTAGGACTTCTTTTGCATGAAGCATGGTCAGAACATAGGATATTTGCAAGACAGCATCCTCGAAGCAATGATGCTCTTATACTTAGAAATGATGGATCCAAATGTATGTCTCATGAGGAGAATATCAACAGTGGGCACTTCTGTGAAACAAGTATCACAAGATCAGAATTGACTACATGCAGAGTTTGTCAGATGGGAAGCAGGAAGGCCTATCAAGGAAAAGGTGATATGTTTGATGTGCTCACTGATAACAACAAGGGCATGAAAACAGCTCCAGAAACCCTGAGGAACTCACGTCGACACATGACTACAGGAAATGTATGTCCCAAACCCTGAGTTTCTTTTTGGAAACGTTGCTGATGCTCTTAAGAGCAAGATAATGTAATACAAAGAGCATTTTTAAAAGTAAGATAGGTTGCTGGGCGACGCATACCTGTAATCCCCGTGGCTTGGAAGGCTGAGGCAGGAGGATCACAAGTTCAAAGCCAGCGTCAGCAAGAGCAAGGAGGTGCTAAGCAACTCATTGAGATCCTGCTTCTCCATAAAATACAAAATAGGGCTGAGAATGTGGCTCGATGTTCAAGTGCCCCTGAGTTCAATCCCCAGTACCCACTGAAAGAAAAGTGGCACGGGACTGATCAAACACACAACTGGGATAAGAAGTGGGTTTATTGTCAGGAGCCCAACAAAGCTCTCTGCAGGAAGAGAGAGACACCAGCAGCAAGCGAGGCAGAGCAGCAGCAACTCCCCCTTGAATGTCACCTTTTATAGGCTAGAATCATGGCCAGGCACTAGGGGCAGTTTAGTCTTGACTGACATAGTAAGCATTCCAAAATCTTGTGGAAGGCAATTTGTTTCTTGGGAACAGAGACAGGCAGTTTTTCTATCTCTCAGAGGGGGAACAGGAAACCGACATGTCCCTTTATCTTCTCAAGGAGAGAACAGGGAAACCAGTACATCTCCATCTCAGGGGCCAGTGAGTTGTCTCCTATCTCTCAGGGAGAGAACAGGGAGAGACTGGCACATCTCCATGCCAGTAGGTTTTATCTGGGGCTAGCTTCTATTTTGGGGGAATAAGAACATTATTCATAAAATGGGGGTAGGGAAAAGAAAGATGGCTGCAATTATGCTAACACCCTCCCCCCAAAAAGTAAGACAGGTTCACATTATAATCCCAGATTGTTGTGATCTTCTATTTATGGATCTTGAGCTATAACTTAAACTAAGTCTCAGTTTTCTTATTTTTGACAGTTAAATAATATCATGTGCCGGATAGTAGCTCCTTTCTTCCAAGATGTGACAGTCTCATCCAATTCCCCTGCCAGGTATGTTGTGGTCTGCACTTCTCTATCCCCTGTGAAGGTAGGTGTGTTCTCATGTTTTGCTTTGGAAAATTAAATACAAACTGAAGTGAGTTGTGTCTGTTGAGGTGGAAGAATCAGAGCATGATTCAGAGCATTTAAGAATCAGAGCATGATTCACTAGATCCTCTTCCACCCTGTAAGGTGATTCTAGAAGCAAGTGTCAAGACTGGACCTCTGTCAGCCTGTGTCCCCTGCTGTCTGTGATACACAAGCTCCCAGATAAACTGCTCTGATGTGGTCCATGAGCAAGTGATCAATTCTGAGTTGTTCCTTACTTGAACAACCCAGCCCTCCTGTTTGATACACCACATTAGACCCTTTCAATTCATGAAGCCAGTTAGAGATGTTTGGTTATACTTTGAATCTCTGCATATATAACAATCAATATGAAGATACTTCTAAAACTTTAAAAGCAAAATTCAGAAGATTCAAAATAAAATGAATATGATTAGAAAAGAGTGGTAGTAGGGCTGGGGTTGTGGCTCAGTGGCAGTGCGTTTGCCTAGCATGTGTAAGGCACTGGGTTTGGTTCTCAGCATCACATCAAAAATAAATAAATAAATAAAAGCATTGTGTCTATCTACAACTAAAAATTATAAAGAAAAAAAGAAAATAATGATAGTACCTAGTGCCAAACAAGAAGTACAATGAAAAACATTCTTACACTTTTGTAAGGAATGTAAATTGAGTAAGTTTTCAAAGGACAGTCTAGCCCTGTCTGTAAAAATTGGACCTACTTTAGAAATTTATTCTTAGGAAATTATGAGATACTTATACAAAGAAGTATAGATAAAGATGTTATTGATGTACTTACTGGTTATAGGAGTAAAAAACTGGGAACAACCTAGATGTCTAACAATAAGAAATGGGTTATCCAGGAGTTAGAGAAGATAATGCTAAGTGAAGTTAGCCAATCCCAAAAAACCAAATGCCCAATGCTTTCTCTGATATAAGGATTCATGGTAGGGTAGAGAGGAGGAACATGGAAGGAAGAGACGAACTCTAGATAGGCAGAGGGGTGGGAAGGGAGGGGAGGGGGCATGGGGTTAGAAATGATGGTGGAATGTGATGGACATTATTATCCAAAGTACAGGTATGAAGACAAGAATTGGTGTGAATATACTTTGTATTCAACCAGAGATGTGAAAAATTGTGCTTTATATGTGTAATAAGAATTGTAATGCATTCTGCTGTCATATATGAATTTTAAAAATTAATTAAAAAATAAAAATATATCAAAAAAGATTATAAAATTTTATTCGTAAAAATTTAATACTTTTGATGCTTTTGTAAATGATATTTTTTCTATTTCATTTTATGTGTTTCTTGATATTTTATTAAAATATTTCTTTTTTAATTAAAAAAAAAAGAAAGAAAGAAAGAAATGGGTTATCCAAAGCATGGTAGATACATCCATAGAGCACTGTGCAGAACATGGAGTTCAATATATATTTTTATTTATTTATTGTTGGTTTATTAGGAGTTTACACAATAGTGGGATTTGTTGCAATGTATTTAGACATGCATATATTTTGATCAATTTCATTTACTAGCACCTCCCCTTAACCTCCTCTCCTCCCTCAATCCATAGTTTTAATAAGTATATATCCATAATACATAATTTTAGCAGGCTAAGTAAAATAGCATATCGCCCACGTCCCGCACAGCCACGGATTCAGGGTCACTCCACGGGAATTGGGCTGGCAATGAAAAGACCACACAAACACAAAATACCTTTTTCAGGGGTCAGGGATGCGACTTCAGGGGTCAGCTCCTGTGCTGGAGGGCAAAAGGAGCAAGGCAGCCAAGAGGCAAGAGAGTGAGTACACCCCAAACCCCTGTTTTTATTAGGGGAAAGACATTTGATAGACTATTCCACCCAAATAAGTCAAGGGATAGTGTTACAACACACAGGGGGGTACAGCCCAGTCCCACTGGGTGATGCCCAATCCCAGAGCTGCACTTCCTTGCTGAGGGAAGGGAAGGCCCACTTGCTTCACACTGCATTTGATTCCAGTTCCACACCCCCATTACTCAAGGCTAAGGGGGTGTGCTCAACCCCTGTTCAGGGCGCCTCGACAATAGCACATATTATATCAATCTTTTTTTCATAAACGTATGTTTTGGACACCAAAGGAAGAGCTACATGAACACTACTGATGGTTATCTTCATGGAATAAGCTTCAGTTGATTTGTATTTTTTCCATTTGAGTGCCTGATTCTTTAAAATATGTGTGTGTGTGTGTGTGTGTGTGTGTGTGTGTGTGTGGTGTATTTTTAACCAGAAAAAAATTAATCAATTTTTATTCTTAAAAAAAAAAAATGAGTGGGAGGGAAAAAGCAAAGGCAGAAAGAGTCAGAGAGACAAAGACTGACAGAGTGATTAGTTGTCCTCTGCGGTGATCAAGACATTGTCAACTGTGGCTACAGAGACTGGGAAACCTCCAAGTTCTGTCAAGAAGAGTTATGTTCAAAATGATTGTAACCACACTATATCAAAAGCTAATCAACTATGTTGGACCCTGAGAAAGGACACTTTTAAAAGGTTGTTCAGCATGGAGTGTAGAAAAGAGTCAATCAGCCGAAAGCCACCACTGTCTAAATCTGCCCTATTCCCCAGGGTAGCCTGGAGCCCCACA